GTTTAACGCGTCGCTTCTGGAGAACGACCTAGCTAACCCTTGCTCATTTCTCATTGTGCCTGGGTTTCGGTATGGTGTGTCGCTTCTGGGGAAAGCCCTAGCATAAGCAGATACTATAGGTTTAGGATTCATGATAAGTTTTGGGAAAAATTTACGTTGGCTGCCTACGTAACACAACCCAGCCCCTTGACTCGAGCATGGGACGTGTTAAGGGAAAGTTTAGGGTCCTTACCCTTCTTAGACCAATTAGATAAGTGTCATTGATCTTATTAAAATGAAGAGGTGTATGAACTAAACTTTGAACCTCTCAAATCTACCAATATTACATGAATCTATACTATCTTAATGCAGGTCGTTGTATTCTGATTTAGCACTAAAGTGGAGATAATATCAACCTTCTTATTGAACCATGAAAGAAGTGAGTTTCCAAAATATGTTCAATAACCCTAGTGGATCATTATCATCATCATCATCATCGTTGAAGCCTTTTCCTAACTAATTGGTGTCGCCTACACGAATCCTGGCCTGCCATTCTGCTCTAAGGGCCATACCCATAGTGGATCGTGGTCATTAAAACTCTGTGTCAAATGTAGAGCAATTATGCTGACCAACAATGTTTAAAAATTTGTTTCTTGCCAACAAAAAAAAAAATCACCAAATCCTAATTCAAATATTGTAATACACTAACCATTTTAAAATCAAATCAACAGGCTTGAATCGGTCACCATTGGTTGCCAAAAGACCTCATTCGTAACCATTCCTAGCCCCAAAAATATATGTTACTATTTACATTAACTTTGGATTTTACAAGAGCTCAAGAACTTTGAAAAAAATTTCTATCTTGAGAAAAAATCAAATATGCAAAATTTAGGGTGTTTTTCTCTCTCAAGAAGGAACAAAAGGTTTTTTTTTATTATTTATTTATTTATTTTTTTTGGGGGGGGGGGGTGAATGCCCCCAAAGCCCTTCTATCCCCTTTTCATGGGGAAAAATGACAGTTTTGCCCTTGGCTGAGGGCCTCTTCCCCCCTCCCAGCCATTGCACCCACCTTGCCCTCTATTATTCATTTTATTCCCTGGTTGCCATGGCCGCCAGGTAGACGACGTTTTGAACATTTCTGAGCAATATGCAATGTGCTTATATTTCCTTGACTCTGCCTATTTTTTTTGATGTTGTTAACTATGGTATTAAAGTAAGGAAAGTATTACAGTAGGTCATCGAGGCAAACCACAGACAGGGTCTCTCAGCAAAAAAAGTTAGGCTCCTCAAAGAGAGATCCTGTAGAAAAAAATGGGTGTGGCTTATAAGTAATGCCCATTACAAGGATTACAAAAAAGAGGAGGCGATGATCCAGATAGTCCAAAACATTGTGGGAGACCTGAAGAACGGCAGTTGGTCAAAAAAATCTAGTTTCTCATGTGCTTGAGAGTGCGCCTTCCTTAGCCATTTGGTTTGCCAAGGCGACATCCTACAGGTATGTGTCCATAAGATGGTTGTATCCTTGCAAATATGCATTATCTCATCATAAATCGAAGCAAGATACCCGGGGCGAGGAGCAAGAACAGTAGTCCAAGTAATTATATTTTGGGCATCTCCCTCAACAATCAGTGGTTGACCCCACAAGTGGTTGAACAATATGAGTCCCAAAAGGAGTGCCATAGACTCGGTGAACTGGAGTCGGCGTGGCCAATGTTCTTGGAAAAAGAGGCTAGGATATTGCCGTGGTGGTCTCTGAAACCCCTCCCACTCCTGTTGGTACAGGGTTACCTAAGGAGCACCCATCAAAATTGAGTTTAATAAGGCCTTCCAATGGTGGGGACTAGTTATTAGCGTGTGCAGCCCGAGGGGAGCGGAAGTGGAGGACTGCTTCCCAATTTTGCAAAAAAGTCAAAGCCGAGATGCCTTTGAAAACCATGTGGTTAGAAGCCCAGAAGATAACCTGGGAAGTAATTTTGTGGAAGAGTGTCAAACCTTCGCACTTGGTTCCTCGGAAGATTCTTGAGTTTCTCCCGGTCCATATGACCCAAATTGTTGCCGTTATGGAGGCCCACCCACCATAAGAGCCTACCTGCCTTTGGCCAAGGAGAGTCCAACGAGAATTTAAGGAGGGCTGGTAGGTTAGCAGGAGTAATCTAGGAAAGGCCAAAGAGCCGACTTATTCTACTTCACAAGTTGAAGGCTAGGTTACAGTGGATGAAGAGGTGAGGGTTGCTCTTTTCTTCGCAGAGACACATGACGCAGCGATTTAGAATGGGGATTTGCCTCCGTTGTAGCTGGTCCACAGTAAGATATTTTTCAAAGCACGAAGGCTTGGACTTTGGTGGAGCTATCGATGACCACACCTTAGAGACCACAGACATCGGGAAGTGGGGAAAGGTCGGGGTTTGCAAGAGTTTTTTGTAGGAGGCAACCGAGAGAAAACCCGAAAGGGAAGGGGTCCACACCAGGCTGTCAGAACTAGATATGGCGAGGAAGGTTGAGTGCAATAAAGAGGACAAAGGACAAACTCCAAAGTTTCGGTATCTAAGAGGGGGCATCTGAAGGAAGTGTTTCAGACCCTACGGTTACCGGTGACGGTCATCTCGTCGGCAACCAAGGAAGATTGGTTGGTGGATAAGATAAAAGATACGGATACAAGTCCCTTAAGGGAGTGTGACCCACCCATAGGTATGACCAAAATCACACTCTTTCGCCTCCGCTAGGATGGAAGCGGATGTTATTCTGGAATAGGGATAGAGAAGATAAGAAAGACTACCAGGTCTTTGAAGGCCTGCTATGTGTTCTCCCTTCTGGTAGCCAGGTGTTAGAGGGGATTTTGTATTTGCTGCAGATGACTTGAGACCAGAGCAAGTTGTTCTGGGTTGCAAGTCGCCACCACCATTTTCCAAGTAGGGCTGTGTTCTGTTGCCTCAAGATCCGAATCCCATGCCCACCAAGGTGCTTCGGTTGACATACCTTTTCCCAAGATAGATGGAATTTTTTCTGTTCAGCGCCCCCGGACAAGAGGAAGTTTCTCATCAGTTGTTCAAGATGGTTGGCGACCGACGCGGGCATGTGGAAGAGGGACATAAGGTAAACCGGGGCGTTGGCCAGGGTGGCCTTGATAAGCGTAGTCGTTCCTACAAAGGACAAGTATCTGCCTTTCCACCCTGCTAGGCGACAGTCAACTTTATCTATGATGTGGAACCACAGCCTCTTTTTAGGTTTTCATAGTCCCAAAGGCATACCGAGGTAGCTTGTAGGGAGGTCTTCCACTTTACACTCCCACTCTGGGATGAGAGCTCTAGTTGCAGTTTGGGACATGGCAACCCCAATCATCGTGGATTTTTCCATGTTTATTTTAAAGCCTGTGACTCTCTGCCCAATATTCATTTGAAGGTTTTTATCTATTAGACCATTGTCAACAATATGGAATTGGGTCAATCTTTACTTTTGCTGATATTGTAAATTGACCTATAGGAGACCTTTTCCCAACAATCTGTTGTATCTTCCACAAATGAAAAACCCTGGCCAGTTCCAGTCGCATTGAATTTTTACTCCCTCTCCAAATTGATCTCTAAATCAGAATTATGGTTATGAATTTTCTTTTAATGATACTCATTAAAAAAGGATAGAGAAACTTTGATCTGTTTTTGTTATTCGCCCAATGGTTTTGAATCCATTTCTGAATCTTGTGCTCTTATTCATGCAATTGATTCCTTTAGCTTATCAACTTGGGTTTTCTTGTTGTTACCACCAGTTATATAAGCTTTTCTTCTGTTGTTCGAGTTCTTAGATTTCTTCTCTGTCCACGTGAGTAACTCCAGTGATGTCTATTCACGTGGGTGAGCCCAATGATGTCAGAAAGGATACCTGTTAAAAGCTTTCTATGGTCCCTGTCTTGTGAGTCGAGACTTTCCCATTCTTTCTGAAAGGAGATCTTAATAGCGCTTCATGTCCTTTACCTCCTGTTTGCAGTGCTTCGCACCACCCTGCAAGGTTACCTCCATAAGCTGATCGTTCCCAGGCAATCAATCTTCTGTGTGTCCAAATTTATCCTATATTGCAAGTCATTCTCCCCTGTATTTTCTCCTTTTTTAACGTAACTGCCAATTATTATTGTTACCAGATCCTTCTGCCACATCCCAGGATTTCCAGCTGTTACCCCTTCTTTTATGCTGTAAAATATTTTAACTTTCCGTCTACTGCTACATGGAGTCATTTGGCTGGTCAAACTCTACATCACCAACTTTGAAGAGCTTTGTATCTATCCACTTTCTTATCTTGAGTCTCATCTCAGTTTTCGTTATCATTTTTAACTTTTTTAATTTTACCTTTAGCTTTTTGTGCGACATGTTTGCAAAAACTAGCTTGCAGCGAAATATATGTTCAGTAACTGCTGTTAACATCTAGTAGTCATTGTGCTTTCCTCAGATTTGTGAAGATATAATGTGCTATGTTGACATAACGTTTTTTTGGTCGGCATACAGATAATCGGCATCCAATAGAATTATATAATTTTTTTTTTGATCTTTCCTTTTGAAAAGAAATGTCTTCTCTATGCAAACTCTATTATTTGTATATACAACGAGCAATATCTGTGTTGAGAAAAAAAGAAGTTAGATATGAACGGTCAGATTGCATGAATGTTGGTTTTTGTGTATCAAAAACTCGCTGTATCCACCCCCAGCTTGCCTATCTAAAAAGGTTGCCTATCTAAAAATATTGTTGATTCCATAAGGCTTCCATCATGAAGCTTTCATGAATGTAGTTTGCGATTTCAAAATCTTATTGTTTTGGAGCATTTACTTAATCTAATATCCTTGGATATGTTCACCATCCTCTTCCAATGACTGATGGTTGAAGATTAACCGGCTCCAGGACATCCACCAGGTAAGTTAATCTCCAACTATCCATCAGTGGGAGTGATGGATGCAGCTTCATCATAAACCATGTGGACTGTTGTATACTTAACCTTGCTGGATGTGATGATTGATCCTTCTAGTTTTTTACTGGAGCAGGTGCAGCGAGAGCACCATCTTCCAGCTGGGGACTTCCCTAATGTGGAGCATTTCAAGGAGGTTTTGAGTGGGTATAGCATCGATAAGTTTGAGAAGCTCAGGCCCAAGATGATACAAAATGTTGATGATATGCTTGGTTATGATATCCCTGAGCTCCTTAAAAATTTCCGGAACCCTTATGAGTAACTGTGAGAAGCATTGCTATGGCGCACTATAGAACCGGTCTACAATTAGGATGGAAGAGAGAAGCATTATATATGAGTCTTAGTGATTGGTGATTGGGATCTGATTCCCCGAAGGAAGGAGGGTAATTTTCTTTTCTAAGTAAGACTTGTGGGATATGTGTTCCAGGCTAAAAAGGCATGTATATCTGTTTAATATATTCATCTCAATTTTTTCTTGATATTTATTTCTTGATATTAAATTTGATGCACGGTTGGAAGTCCATTGGTGGCATGTGTAAAGAGTGTACTTTGATATGTTGTGTAGGCTTTCGTTCTCTCTTTCCAACAATCTTGTTTGACCTTTTTACTAAATTTGTTTTAGATTGTATACAATGAGACCATTTATTTTTGGTATAAGGAGGTCACAATGTTGTGCCACAAAGCACGAAAAAAATTATTTTGTACTTTGAGCTTGGTCAACAAAATAAATACAGCCATCCAATTTCACATCCAATGGTCAAGATTGATTGTGACCATCTTGTACCAAAGATGGTTTCATTATATATTTCACATCGAATGGTTAGGATTAATTACGTCAGATTAATGCCTGCAGTTGACGTGTTATCTAAGCAAAAGGTATGTATGCTTACATACCTTGTGCTCACGAATATTCATGTTTCTGGATTTGCGTCCTGCAATCTGTGCATAAAAATAGAATTATGGGCGTGAGCAAGCTTGTAAATGAATGCATTCGTAGCCATTATGGCTATGCTATATGCGTGGATGAATCTGAACTCCAACGTGGGCATATATATTGAGCTAGAGAAAGTACAAAATTATGGAAGGGAACATCTTATGCATATTAAAAGGAGGTTCTTTTATTATAACAGGGAAATCAATAGTGATTGCATTGAGCATGAATTTCTTTTCACTGGTAATGAATATCATACCAACAGCTTCAGCCACACCTTTCTATGAACAGAACACAAATTTAAAGAATAGTAAATAATTTTCCATCCTTAAGGATGAGTAATAGGCGCAATGATGGGCTGACTTCCTAACCCTGCCACAGAGCTTTCAGGCATACGCATCATCATCAAAGATCAGTCATTTCTTGGTGAAAAGCAGCAACATATCTGCAAAAACGAGGAATTGTGGAGAGGTTTTTTATAGTGAAAACAGCTCTAGATCTGCAAAACAACAGGGGGGGGGGGGGGCAGCAAAGAGAGATTCATGCAATAATAGAAACAAAAGAAAATGGAAGATGGTGTAACGTACTGATGATCTCGTAGAGCCATTGTGCTTTTTATAACTGGTTGGATAAACAACTGGTTTGGTTGGTATTACAGGGGGTTTTGCAGCTCTGATCTGCCTTTCTTCTTTCACTTTGTTGAACAAAACAGTGAAACCATCACCTGAGGTAGGATCCCTGTCATCCCAAGCTCCAAACTTTGGAACAGCTGCAACACTTTCAAGCTACCAGCAGTATAAGTTAGTTCCAATTTATCGTGAGAGAGAGAGAGAGAGAGAGAGAGAGAGAAGTAAACATAGTATTACTTACCTGATACATCTACTCTCGTAGTAATTCGACCCTTACCGTTTAGTACTAACCAAACCGACCGAGGAGGGAGGTACGG